AAGCGACCGGGCGGCTCTACCTTCGCCCGCGGCCTTAACCCTGTCCGCTCCTGGGAGACAGGGACACTTCAGGGTCCTCCTCCCCAGGAAAGAGCCCAAATGCCTAGCCCACGTCCCGACCCGCTTTTCCCCTCCACGCACTCCCTGGAATCCCCTGTGAGAGAACCATTGTTAACTTCCCCTATCTTGCAGCCTATTTGGAAGATACTGCTTTCTAGTGTTAGCCAGTGAATGCCTGTAATTCGAGGTTGAAAAGCTGTTCTGTGGACTTTGGTGCTTCCGCTTCTAAGAGTAACTATCTGCATTACAGTATTCGTTTGTCCTATTGGAACCTACATGGGATTGTGCTGTGAGCCCAGAGATTTTCAAATTGTTGAAATGGGTAAGAGTTTCAAATGAATAGTTGATTCCTACCAAGAGACAGTTACCCCTCCGGTAGAGGACTGATTATCTGATAAATTTGTTTTCCGTCGAAACTTCATCTCGTTCAGCCCTCATCTGTAGGATTTCTGAGAACTTAGTTACTTTTCTTAAGGATCTGCTTTTAATTTCTACATTTTCATTACTTTATCCATTTGAACCATCTGTTTAAAGACGCATATACAGATCATGGGAAAAAATCCATTAAAGTGCTTTACATTTTTCCCAGTTAAGTTTCAGGGACTGTCAAGACTTTTAGTTTCAATTTTTTAAAGTATACATAAACCCTGAAAATAGCACGTAAACGTTAAACTAAAACGGATAAGATCTTCTAAACTGTATGATGGCTTGATTTAAATTTTCTGGGCCACAAAAAAACAGATTCTCAAAACTTACATCCATATTTACATCATTAATCCTCAACATATTTGTAAAATGGCCAATTACAATTTTAGTCATTGTAATGCCAAGTGTGGAACTAGTGTTTCTCTATTAAATATGCCTCATTTAGGGGGATGGGGAGGCAGTAATGTCATTTGTCAGCAAATGGGATGATACAAACTGCAGTGGACTGTTTTTCACTTCAAGTGGGTTTATATCTATCTATTATTATCATTATGTACGCCCGAAAGTCAAAAATCCAGTCAAGCCAAACGAATAGTTTCCTTTCAACTTTTGCCATGTTGCTGTTCCAAGTGATTAAACTGAGTGCCAGATGCTGTGCTATGAAACAGGATAAATATAACAATCCTTTTTTATTTTTTTATTAAATTGAAATCTTGTGATTAATCCTTTAAAAATGCACCAACCATCTTTGATAAGTAGCATTTCATGTGTCAAGTTCATTTTTCAGTAAAAGTTTTACAGGCTAGGGCAGATATATTCTAGATCCCAAGATAGGGGTTATCATTTACTCATCCATATATGTAATGCCATGCTTTATGCCTGCTGTATAAATTACTAGGATCTGGGTGGACTAATGATTTATATAGAAAAATAGAGCAAAGCATATTACCTGACCTTAAAAAGTTCTCTGAAAAGAAATTATAAAGAATGAGTTCTCTTGCATAACCTGAGGCAGAATATGCTGTGTTTCAGAGCCTCACACAGATGCTTGTACCAATAATGCATTCTTGTTCTTATCAATATGTTTTTATTCAGGCCCATCCTTGCATTTACATGGCATTGGGATTTTCCCCTCCTACCTTTTCCCCTTATTGTGTAAAGCTTGGTGTCTTATAAATGGACTTTTTTTTGGTAAGTGTTTTCAGAGTTACCCATGACTTATTCCATGATTCATACTTTAATTATACCTGCTAGTCAAGCTTTCTTTTATGCTACCTTAACCCAGCTACAAGAGACACCTGAAATGATTTTGCTTTGAGGTAGATTTACTGTCAGTTTTGAACTGTGGTTTTCATGTGTTAGTTTCTCACCACAGTAAGTGAACCGGATTCCGAGAGTAAAGGGTTTGTAATTAAAAGATTGGCTGTACCCATAAAACACAGCCTTTCCAAAAATTTCCACTTCATGATCCATGGCACTGTCAGTGGCATGATGGCTTCACACATTACTGACTGACACATTCCTTGGCTTGGCTATTGGCACAGAGAGATGTCTCTGTTTGTTTTCTTATTCTGAGTTGGGATGTGTGGAGCTTTGTTTATATTTAAGAGCAAAGAGGGAATACAGAATAATAAACTAATACATGGCATTGGTAAATCTACCCAAGACATTTTTTGTGACCTAGAACACATCTACCAGTTAATATGTACTTAATGAGTGTTACTGTCACTAGGTACTCAAAAAAGTGTTATTTTTACTTTTCTGTTAGATAGACTTAGATTTCTAGACTCAGACATTCTGAGGCTAAATTCAAGCTGGTAAGAGATGACTAAACGAGAGAAAGTGTATGTGTATCTGCCACCCTTCCTAGAATGAGGCGGCAGGGTCACCGTCACCGTTTGCATTTCTCCCTCTGCATTATCTTTCTCAAAAGGTGTTCCTTAACAGTAGGCTTTACATCATTCTAGTTCAGTCTTACATCATGTTGTCTAGGAAAACAATATTGTACACAAATTAATAAAGCATTCAAGTTTTCAAAACATTTTATTGTGGTTAAATATATGTAACATAAAATTTACCATCTTAACCACACTGAACTAAATAATGAATTGCCTGTAAGTACATTCACATTACTGTGCACCTATCCCTACCGTTCATTTCCAGAACTTTGCTATCTTCTCCAATTGGAACCCTGTACCCATTCAACAGTGAATCCCCATTGCCCCTTCTTCCCAACTCCTAGTAACACCATTTTACTTTCTGTATGTTTCTATACATTTGACGGTGTAGGCATCTCAAATAAGTGAAGCCATGTGATACTTTTTTTTACTTAGATGATCCAGTCATTCATGAGTGAAGCAAAGAAGACAAAAGTATCACACACACACACACACACACACACACACACACACACACACACTGGGACAAGATCTCTCTATATAGTCCAGACTGGCCTCAAACTCATATCCTCCTGCCTCAGCCTCCTCAATGTTGGGATTATAGGTGCATGTCACCATGCCAAGAGAATGAGATATATTTTTAAGACCACTTGAACCTACATAAATTTTTGAATCTATAGATTTTTAAAGATATGTTTCTACCAGCAAAAAAAAGAAAGTTCAAATTAAGCTCTTAGGTAGTAGGTATTGTTTAATCTGTCTTGTTAAAAGCTGTACCATCATTATTTTCTCCCCGCACCATGCTCCTAACATCACTATTTCTTGTAAGATTGGTTGCTGTGCATATGGCATTGCCTAATCCACGGACAAGTATGCATGTCACTAATGACAATAGCCTATCTGACTTAGTAATGTCATCTTTTGCAGGTAAAAATTGCTATCATGAAATGCAAAGCCCCTGTCTACTCTTCTCCCTTTCTTAGGACAGTTGTCATGATATATGGACAGATGATAAATGTAGCCTGGATAGAAGAAAACTTTGGGGCTTAGAATTGGTAGTCTTTCACAGAGAAGCACAGAACATAGGCTACATTGTATGAATCTAAGAATTTCAAGTACTCATTCAATAAATGGGCTAAAAAGCAATGCTTAAAGCTACCAGTAAGTGGTTGACAGCTGAGAAAAGGGAACTTCACCAAGGTAGGGTACACATAAAAAGGGGAAAGAGATGAGCACAAGGCAGATCAAGTAAAGGAAGAAATTATACTGTGTGATTTCATGTATGAAGTAGGAATCCAGTGAATCTCATAACATTTGAGCCTATATAGAAGTGTTATCCTTTTTAGAAACAATATAGTGAGTTTTATTTAGTTCTGCATGCTGAATTTAAGGCTCTAGTGTAAGGAAGAGGAGCTGTTCAGAGGAAAAGCACAGCATGACCCTTGGAGTGTGAGTTTACAGAAGGACTATGGCCCAGCTAACCTAGCAGGAGGAACTGTTGAAAGTAGGTGTGTTCTGAGCGACAGCACAACTTCCAAAGTCCATTCCAAATCTGAGATTTGTATTATCATGACTAATTTCTGAAGAATAAGATCAAGGGAAAGAAGAACAGAAATCTAAGCATGGAAACCTGACCAACTAGGTATAATTATGAGGCAAGGATAGAAAAAGGGGTGGGGTGTGGAGAAGGGTATTAAATGGTCTAATTTCTAAAATGCTTTTTTTCTAAGCATAGTCTTTGATATCCATTTAGTGTTGCCCCCTTGTGGCAAATTTTAATACTTGCTATGTGACAAGAAAAACAAAAGACTAAAGAGCAAAGGATCCTCCCATGTACTGGCGTGATACTCAGTTCTTACATACATCACTTGATTAGTTTTCCCACCTTTGATTTTTCATGCTGGGGATGGAACCAGGGCCTCAGGCATACAAGGCATGTGTTATACCACTGAGCTATACCCTCAAGCCCTGCCCTGTGTTGAACATACAGGAGGTTAGACTCAAAATGGTCTACTCACCTAAGTATTTGTAGCTACAGTTCCTGGAGCTTGGGATTTCGGCACAGCTCTATCTAGCTAAAAAATCTGTCCTAAAAACCATACACTTGCTATGTGACTTGCTCCCCCATTTGACCCCATTTGATCAATATTACCTGGATGACTATACTTGTAATCTTATTGGTTGGCCATGGTTTTTCCCCACCTCATGACCACCGTGTAATTTTCTATTGGGTCTTACAATTTTGCCCATTTTGTACCTGCC